GCTAATATTTAAAACTGAGTCAATACGAATTAGGTACACCTGAAAAATTACAAAACAAAATTGTGCAATGTAGCCATGTAAACATAAAAACAAACATAGAAATGTAAACATGTCCTACCTGTTATCCAACATAAAACGTCACTTTGAACAACATTTCAGCATTCGCGCACCGGTCGTTCGCATTTCTATAAACATAACCTTCAAAAATAAACCACGAGCGCACGGCAACAGAGTTAACGAACAACACGCCACAGCCTTCTTAATTGCGGCAATCAGCTGTTCTGGCAGCGCGCCTGGTGGCGATGTTCGCAACTAGGAGGCCGTGGCCGTGGCTAAATTGAAATATTGAAATTGAATACATTTGCAGCGGCAGCAAATTATAGTGTTACTGGTTACTCCAACTCGATCTCCTTTCATGCACGTGATTTTAGGTTTTAGTACATAGGATTATTAGGTTTAGTACATAAACCTAAATGATATTGTGTTGTTCGAGATAGTCTGTTATGAAACTCAAAGGATGGATTCATAATTATTCAGGGGAATTCCTGTTCCTAATTAAAATTCATATTCCTAAATAAGAGTTGTTTTGTATGAACATAACTTGTATAAGATCCTTGACCCTTTTATCACCAATGGATTTTATTTAAGAGTTGCCTAAAACTCAGAGCCTGAGGTAATATGAAAGACTGAAAAACAATCTATAGTTAAAAAAAAAACCGATAATTTCAAACACAATCCAGGATATACATCTATGTTCAGGAATTTGTTCACGATCGCCACTATATGACACTGATCTGTTAGTTCAAGATTCTATCGGAGAATTTGCCATTATTTATTGATCTTGAAGGCATTAAAAGTGATACTGGCTAGTTGACTACAACCCTACAACTCCTCTTTTCCCTTTCACTTCACATACACGTTTGTGTATAAGAGTTTTGGCCGAGTTTTGGTGTATAAGAGGCTGGAAATTCGCCAACACTTCCCAGTATTTGGCATCTGTTACTAACAGGTGTTTGTATTTGGCATAAGTCGATTTCCTATAAGGAAAACTAGATGGGTGAGCATGCAACTCTCTTGTCCCAAACTGCAGATAAAGTTCAAGGGATTATTGCTTGGGTTTTCAAGTTCGTCCTACTTATACAATAATTATTGAAGAAGCAAGGCAAAATTAGTCCTACTAGATTGTCAAAATGAAAATTAAATATTTAAACAAGCTGTACGTCATTTTATTAGGTTTAGTGAATATTTTAGACTCCTTTAAATACTACTACGCTCACTGGCGTACATTAACACACTGCGGGTGTATACTAAATGCCTATATCAAAATTTATATTTATGGTAAAACTAACTGACCCGGCGAACTTCGTATCGCCTAAACTATAGGTTTCCCCTAAGACAAAAAAGAAGATGTTAGATTTTCCCCTAAGATGGAAAACCCGGCAGACGTTGTCTTGCCTTTGACTATTTATAATTTAAGAACCGTTACGTTTAATTTTCAAGATGATCTCGTTCGCATCGCTCAATCACGTCCTGGTTGAAGTTCGTTCGCTACGCTCACTCACCTTTGGATTGGAGCTCGTTCGCTACGCTCACTCACCTTTAGGTTGGAGCTCGTTCGCTGCGCTCACTTGCCTTCAGGTTAGATGTTCGCATCGCTCAATCACGTCCTGGTTGAAGTTCGTTCGCTACGCTCACTCACCTTTTGGTTGCAAATTAGCTGTTGTCATAAAATGTAAAAGAAATAATAGTGCTGCACCCTGTTGGTAATCCTTGTAACTTTAATGCTATTGAACATCATAGAACAGAACCAACTTGTTTAATTGAAACAGCTGTTAAGATTCATTAATTCCATTTCTCATAAGGTTAACATGGGAAACTCCATACCCACTGGGGCGGAGCCCTTTTAAGAATTTCGAAACGGGAAATAGTTTACGTCCGATTCGCATACCTACAGAATTTACACACCAAATTTCATAACGATCGGTGAAGTCGTTCCGGAGGAGTTTGCAGACAAACACTGTGACACGAGAATTTTATATATTAGATTCAAAGTGTAGGTGTAAACAATTTAAAAGGATGTTGTAAACATGATAAAGACTTGAGACATTGTATGTCAATTAATTAATTAGGGCCCTAACTTAATAAAAAAAAAATATCAGCTGGATTTACATTGACAACACAGTTTAATATGTGGGTACCAATGACAAAGGACCTTATACTATTTACCAGGGATATAGGATAGAGCTGGTTGAATTGTTGATTAATAAAAACAGGCAAGCATAACAAATTTTTAATTCAATTGGAAATGTGCATTTGGATATTGTGATTTAACTACCCTATAACCACTTCAATTATAAAATACCCCCACTGCAGCAAACCTGTAGACTAAGCGAATTTCAACTTGTCTGATTACATTTTTACTAAAATATTTCCATAAATAAGACATATTTATTCCCTATTTAAATAACATTAGATTTAACGAGTGCTTAGGTTTGCTACTACGGGGAGGTTAAAAAGTGTTTTTTGACCATACGTCAATACGTATAGGATGAAATAAATAAATTTGCTAAATTTTATCAATATATATCCATAAACAAGTAAACTACAACAATTTTAATTTCTTCATAAGAATAACATGGGAATTTTAAATTACACTATTTTTGAATTTTCTCAGTGACCGTTAGGCATACAACAGTGCTTCAATAAACTAAATTATTTCTTTTTTAAGCTCTACAAAACGGTTTAAAAAGAAATGCAAAATTTTTTTGTTTTTAGGGTAAAAAATGGGAAAACCCCAATTTTACCCCATAAACCCCCGTTCCCATGGTCCGATTATGCTGGATCGCGAACTCGTTAGAATAAACGTAGGTTTAAACGTTTGAACCAAATTTCATCAAAATTTTATTTTTGCTCGAGTTATCGCGCTAACGGACACATAGGCCTATATATATAAATATATATTACTAAGTAAATCAAAATACCACAGTACCCTAAAAACATTTTATTTTATATTAGCCTACTTACATGTTTCGGACATAAATGTCATGATCCAGTATCTATAGTACATAACCTATCAATTTATTTTATTTTCAAACATTATTAGATATTTCTTGTTAAAGAACAGGTGATAAATTTTATGTTAAGGAAAGGAGGTGTTTTTCTTGAAGATTTATAATTTCATTGAATATTACGTCTTGATTTTGAATTTGTGTCAAGTTTAGTAAATTTTCTTTGTCATTAATATGATGTGTATAAATATAAAAGTCTTCTTTTGCATTCATTTTTCGCCTTTATTTTCAACATCTAGAATGTGCATATTATTTTTATTCACTTCTGAGTATGTATGGTCGGTCTGAAGTATATGTTCGGCATATGAGGATTTTTGTGTTGTCATGTTATTTGATCTTATTGCCTGTATATGCTCTTTGTACCTGACTTCGAATGTTCAACCTGTTTGACCAATATAGGCTAGTACTTTTCACAGTTGTTACATGATAATTTGTAAATTCCCGATTTCTTATATACATTTGGGGGTTGGGTCTCGGATTTGTTCTTCTTTGAATTATGTTAAAAGCTTTATTCCTTGTTTTAAAACTTAGATTAAATTTTGAGGTCGGTAATGGTTTTTTTTTAAGGTTTTGTTTAAGGATGAGCTGAATGGAAAACATACAAATTCTTTCTTTTCATTTTCTTGTTCTTCTACTTTCATTCTTCTCTGTTTTTCATTTTTTATTAATTTTTCACTCATTTTTTCTTTGTATCTATTTGTTCCTGCAATTCTTTTTATAGTTTTCTTTTCTTTTTCAAAGCTGTCTTTAGACATTGGTATGTTAAGTAGTCTAAATACCATTGATTTGAAGTAGAAATTTTGTGTTGCCAAGGATGGTTTGACTCAAATGGAATGATTAGGTCAGTTTGGGTGGGCTTCCTATATATATTGAAATTATGTCGATTGTTTTCTTTAGTCATTGTTATATCCAAGAAATTTATCTTCTTTTCTTGTGTCTCCATCGTAAATTTAATTGTTGGGGAGATAGAATTTAAATATTTCAAAAAATCTTTATATGAGTCTTTATTGCCGTTGTATAAACATAATATATCATCAACATATCTATACCAATAGATTATTTCTTTTCTAAACGGATTGTCGTCGTTTATGATTTTTGATTATTTTAGATGTTGCATATATATGTTTGCATACCAGAAAGTGGAGAACCCATAGCCAATCCTTCTAATTGTTTGAAAATTTTGCCATTGAATTCAAAATAGCTTTGATTAATTGCTACTCTAGATATCTGTTGTGTTAAACTTAGATTTCAAAATATATTGAGCAAATTAACATTTATGCTCAATAATTGAGCATAAATGAATTATTGAGCATAAATTTTAATTTAATAATAGATTAATTGAAAAGCAATCCAGGCAAATGGAAGTTTGCTTAGTCTGCAGGTTTGCTGCAGCGGGGGTATTTATATTAACATCCACAAATGAAGGCTACAATCCCCATAGTTTGTTTACCAAGTTTATATCTTATCACAGTTCAGAATAAGAGTGTTGACCTCAAATGTTTCATTGCAGCCTCAGTCTTTGCTGATATGAGTTTAGTGACAGCAACATCTAGCTGAGAACTATTTCTTGAGTGTTTGATTACAATAGACTTTTTTGAGTGCTTATGATCCTTTAAGAAAGTATATACCTATATATGGATCAGCTGTACCGGTAGCCTTTTTTTGCATAGAACATAGTAATTGAATGAGGAATGAGTGACTCACACAGTCTGCTAGTGTCAAAATTGTATTTTCTTTTTTGTTTTTTTTTATACTGTGTGATAATTGATATGATATAAAAGATGATAAAGTACAATAAGTAGTCCGAGCTGGGATTTGCGAAAAGTTTTGTTTATGATGAATGTTGGTAAAAGTCAGCCGATCACATTATCGGAGGTTTCAATTCAATTACTTTCATTTTAATTTTAAAACTTCAAAATGGGAATGGAATGGCTTTTCAAAGTGGCTGTATGTGTAGTAAAATGCAGTATTTATTGAGACAGTTGTGTTTTTGTGAATGCTCAAGTTATTTGAATCAACTTATGGAGTAGGCTATTGCCAACTATTTTGATGTGAGTAAAAGTTAACTTGTAATTCTTTTGGTGCGTTTTTGTAAAATCCTGAGAAGAAGTAAATGTTAATCATTACAATGCTGAATAGCCCTGTTTAAAAGCAATTCAATTAAAATGCTAACAAGCATGCTGATTCTCCGAGGTACCGCTACCAAAACAATGTAGTGATAGAATTAGAAAAAATGTACCTACATAAGAGTAATGTACATTAAGATTTTTATGTACTTAATTATTGTATTCAAGATGTCTTTAAAAAAACTAGGAAACAATTGAAATCCAAAAACTCACATACTCATACAAATTACAATTTTAAATACAGGATGGCTTTATCGAGAAACACTTACATTTCATGTGTTAGAGCCTTCAGTTCTGCAAGTATATTGCAATATTCTGCAGAAGTTCCATTTACCGCAGACCAATATTCAATCAAAAGAGGTGCGTTTGCGGAACTGCGAGATGTTCATTTGCAACATTTCCAAAAACTTCTGCAGCCAGGACAAGTTCTTACAGACCCCAGTGAACTCAGGTCCCACAACACCGACTGGTTTAAACATTTTAGAGGTAAATGGCACAAACAATTACAATTAATAGAAGTAAACTTGATAAACATGTAAATATACTTAATAATAGGATTAGTCCTATCCTTAATTGCTGACATTGTTTACCTGATTTAACTTATATACTACGAGGCACCATTCTCTTCGGAGGCAAGGTTTTGAATCCCACCGCAGCCACCATGTACTATTTTATAGAAATTAAATAATCCTTTGTTTTATGACATTACTTTACCCAAAACCAACTAACTTTATTTACATGTTTAACAAATAATAACAAATAAACATATGATTAGCATTAAACAGGTATTGTGAAATAATCTGTTGTTACAACTCAATGTTAATTAGAAGTTTTTTTCAAAGAGTTTGTTACCCTTATTATATTTGAATGGTTTAAAATGCTGTAGTTGAATCTAGTTTCAGGTCTTATAATCTGTACCATCATCAGGCCTACAAAGTGTCAAGGCATTCATTTGAAGGTCGTCAACAGAGTTCAGTACATAACACACTCACGAGACACAGAAACATAATATGGACATAAATGTACAAAAACACAAAATAAATTAAAGGTTTTGTGAAGTAAAGGGGTACACTTCCATATCTGTTGGCACTAATATCGAATGAGTACTTTTTATATCGAATGAGTACTTTTTATCGATATATCGATTAATCGATATATAACCTAACCTAACTAACCAAACTACCGAATGAGTACTTTTTATCGATATATCGATTGTTCGATATATCGATAAAAAGTACTCGTTCGATATTAGTGCCAACATATATGGAAGTAAAGTTTTCTCCAAAAACAAGAAAGTTCACCTCATCTGAGACATGTCTGATAATTTTCAAGATAGGTGGCACTAGACATTAGTGTTTTTTTTGTCTGTGCAATACAGTACTTATATGACTGTTGTTCTTAAATCAATGCAGTAGGACTAGACTAGATTTAGACACTAAAGGCAAATATTAGGAAAGGATGTGAGTGTCAAATGGATGGTATAATGTTTTTCTATTGTCAATATACTACTTACTGTGTCTCAAAAATTATTCTTAAAATAAAATAAAACTATTTTCAGGAAATGGAAAAGTTATTTTGAAACCAAAGAATACAGAAGAAGTTTCAGCAATATTAAAATTCTGCTACACCGAAAACTTGGCAGTTGTTCCACAAGGCGGTAATACAGGTAATACCTTCACAATAATGTATCTGACATAACGTGATTGTGAAGTTTTAGTTTTGGTGGTGCAAGATACAGCAAAGAAAGGCTGGAAGACTGTTGGAGTATCCCTAAGGTCAGGAAATTCTTTGGGTACCAAAGAAGTTTGTTGCTATTACGGGATGGTTGTGCCTAGCTCTAGGTTATGAATGCGCCTATGTTCGTGCTGGAGCATTACATACAGTACTTGTGTCGAGCAAGAGTGCGGGAAGTTCCTACTATAGGTCAAAGGACTTCTCTGTGACTACACACACAAAATTGTGTCAAGATCACATAATTTGTGGCTTGTAAGACTGAGGGGTAAGTACAAGGGCTTACGTCCCTTTGTCTTGCAAGTATCAAATTGTTCATTATAGTAACCAAACCATTTGTCCATACATTTAACATTTCTGTTTTGTTTTAGGTGTATTGGGTGGAAGCGTCCCAATATTTGATGAAGTAATCATTTCTACATCATATATGAACAAGATAATACAAATTAATGAAATACCAGGTAGGTCATTCATTTTGAATTTGAATACTCTGAACAAAAATGTTAAAACACACACTGCACAAAGTAGACCAGACTGGAGGCTGAGTAATAACTACAATTTAAAACATATGATATAAAGTTTTGCTAAGCTTACATGCCGGTACTTTCAAATTTTACTGGTACCATACCATAAAAAGTCTCAAGTTTTTGTTCTACACTCCAGGGTGCACTAAATTTATACAATTTTCAGGAAGCATAGTATGCCAGGCAGGCTGTGTGTTGGAGACATTAGACAATGCCTTGGCAGATCACGGACTGATGATGCCTCTAGACCTCGGGGCCAAGGGCAGTTGTCACATTGGAGGCAACATCGCCACCAATGCTGGAGGTCTGAGACTGCTGCGCTACGGCAGCCTGCAAGCTAATACACTCGGCCTTGTTGCGGTAGAGTATTTTGTTCCTCCAGTGAAGGAGAACTGAATTATGACAAATATATATTTTAAACCTAATTGGGAGACTGATTAAACTGATACTGTAAATTAATTTGACGCTTTGCAGGTGAAGTCTGATGGTCAAGTGATAGACTGCATGAACACCCTCAAGAAGGACAACACTGGTTATCATCTGAAACACTTGTTTGTCGGCTCAGAAGGAACTCTTGGATTAGTCACTGAGGTTGCAATCCAGTGTCCTCCAAAACCTCAATCTGTCAGTTTGGCACTACTAGGTGGGTAATCTGAAGGAAGCCTTGTATAATACTCCCTTGGGCTACAGCCACACTTTTTGTCACCAGTACAAAAAAATGTAACACAATTTGATGAAGACAGCCACAACGAACGACCTGCGACGGCAAAATAAACCTGTCTCTGGAGTTTTCATGTGGCAGTGACATGTTTCTCTTGTAATCTTATGTTCCTGGCCATACGTAGCAACAAGTCATTCCTACATCCAGGTACTGGATGCACTTTTTGACAGTGGTTCTTTGGAGTTGGAAAATATGCTTTTACAGATATTTTTTTACCAATTAATTGAGTTTTCCTATACCAATATAGGAGGAATCTCAGACCTTTTGCTGTCTTTAATGTATGCCAGGAGCTTGTAATACTATGCTCATTCCGAAAATTAAAAAAAATCAGTTGCTTCCGTCATGCTTAAGAGATAATATTGTTGTACAGCTGACAATGTTTAAAACACAAAACTTGATCAAAATATGCATTTTTTCCTTTTCAGATTATGCAATACCTTGCAAGAGGTTCTCCTCACTCTTTGGAGCCATCCTGACACCTATGTCCTTATTAACCTCAAACTGTCCATCCACATAAGGCCAGGGACACACTTACCGGCAAAACCGCCGGACGCCGGAGGTGGAGGGTCAGAACACACTTGTTCCGGCAAAAACTATTTTGCCGGAGCCAAAACAGTTGAGAAATGAAGAAAATAAGTTTTTTAACTATTTTTGAATGACTGTCCCCTCATTTGACGAGCTACTATCGAAGATTATAGTGCAAATACAAGGACAAGACACATACATGAAGACGCTGGGAAAGGCTGGATTCAGTGCGGCACAAATTTGACGCCAGCTGTCCCTCGTTTTGTTTTTGTCTTTGTAAATTTCCAAAGATCTATCCCAAATTACTGTTTTCTTATGAACCAAACTAATAAGTAAATCCATATCAACATCTACCATGATGATATAACTAAACAGACTAAAAATAAAAACTAAATTAACTAAATAGCAAAACAAAATTAAATACACCACTTGGACACTTTGCTATAATCAAAAACAACCACTACCCTTGAGGGTTGAACGACGACTGAGGAGTGGGGGCAGTCGCAGTTCCGGCTGTTTCGCCGGTATGTGGGTTCATCTCCATAAGGCACAATGCCCCGCTACCCGCTGGGCCGGCAAAACCGCCGATCCGGTGGTCTGGCGAGGTAGAGAATATCCGGCGGTTTCGCCGGAGCATTTTGCCGCTGGATCGGCAGTTTCGCCGAACCGTAGAAGTGTGGCCTACCCCATGCCTTCCTGTGTATTTCAACTTGCTCCGGCGCTGCCGGATCTGGCGTCCGGCGGTTTCGCCGGTAAGTGTGTCCCTGGCCTAACATCCAGATTAGAGGATGTAATACCTTGTTCAATTCAAATATTTATTTATACAACAACTTGACCTTGTAAATTTCGCAAAACTTTTGAGTCTACCACAGAATGCTCAGACAATATTATAATTTTAATTCAAATTAGGTAGAGTAGTGAATATTAAAACTATATTTATGACTGATCATTTTTGAAGGAATGAAAACCTTTGACCATGCTCTACAGTGTTTTCGGCTAGCAAGAAGTCTGCTAGCTGAAGTGATATCTTCTTGCGAAGTGATGGATTATGAATCTTTATCTCAAGTCACTAAAAAGTTGAGGGTTTCCAGCCCTTTGGATGATCATCCGTTTTACATTCTACTTGAGGTAACTACTAAAGTATATAATTGCAAAGTAATATTATTTACTTCAAGCCATCCATCATATTAGAGATAAACACAGATTCACAACTGGGTGGCACTATACAGATATAGGAGAGGTAGGGAAGTAGTTAGACATTTCCTTGTATGTTTGTTATTTTTAACTTATTTGGTTCAATTGAAGATTTGTACACTAAAGCACAGAGAAGAAGGTACAATGGAAACATGCTTATGGAACAAATGTGCACTTACCAGTGGCCCCCCTCTGGCATATATTTTTTAACTACATTTAATGTCAAAATTTTGCCGCAAACGGCAAAGACAATGATAAAATAATGTTCAGTTACCACAGGGGTTATTCAGGGTTTTGCTGTGACCAGGAGAGACAATGGCGATGTTCACACGACCTCGGGAAATGAATAATATTTTGCCACGATCCTAAAAGACGATGCTGATGTTCCGTTGCAGTGGTTATTTGGTGTTTTGCTGTGACCGCAGGAGACAATGACAATGTCTGCACAGCCGTGAGAAATTATTAGAACTGTCCTGCGATCGTGGAAGTCGAAGATAACGTTTCTGTTACCACGGGGTATATTCAGGATTTTCGGTAAGAGGACAATGTCTACACAACTGCGGAAAATTATCAAAATTTTGCTGCATTTGTTGAAGGCGACGGTAATGGACAATAATGTCTACAGGACCGTGGATGGGAGTGGTTCATGATTTTACTGCGATCGCGGAAGACGATGATAATGTTCCGTTACTGCGGGAGTTATTCAGGGTTTTGCCGTGACCGTGGGAGACAAGGACGATGTGGGGGAGCTTTACCTCTAATCTCGCCCCGCTCAATCTAAAGCTAGATCCGCTACTGGCACTTTCACTCTAGTATGTTGTGCTGGAAATTTACTTGTGGTGATCAAGGAAGAGCCCGATCTGCTGCTCACTAGAACTGTACGAAAATTCCTATTGCACACAGGGCTAAGGCTCTTCCTCGACCTAAAGCGTAGTACATGAGGATGTTACCCTAGATACCAGCGACTAGTGCTTGACACCACTTAAGTGTACATTGAATATTTCCTCTATACCTTAATTCTCTGCAACTACAGATAAGACGTATGGAAGTTTCTGATGGATCCAATGTAAATTTCTTTATGGTTTAACTAAATACATAATTTATAAAATAAACTATGACACTTTTTTTACTTAGAACTTTAGTAAATGAAAACATTACTAATAATTTACTGATTTTTTTAGGCCCTCGTTAAAATCTGTGACTTAAAATACCTTCTATGACCCTATGCATATAGAGAAATTAAAAACATTATTTACTAGTAAATTGGGGCCCCACTATGAATATACGATTATCTTAATTAGAGTAGCAAAATATTAAAAAATGTACAGCAAAAACGACTAAAATTTACCTGTTTAGGTGTCTGGTTCCTGTCGTAGTCATGATGAAGAGAAACTTAATAGTTTCCTACAGAAGGCCCTTGACAGTGGAACCATCAATGATGGTCTGGTCACCAACGAACCATCAAAGATGAATGTTAGTAAGGTTGCAATGTGAAATTAATTGATTAATAAGTTCATTATAGGTGTGAAGATTTCCATAGGAAGTATTGCTTACAACAGGTGTGGTAGAATTAGGGCTTTAGTAGCACTATTTTGTACCTACTATGAACCTGCAAGTTAACAAATTAAAAACAGTTAAGTTGTGAGTTTTTTTTGTCCTAGGACGCTAGGGACGAGCCCGTAATGTTTTACACTTTACTTTAGGCTAGACCTAGGGGTTGCGGCATTATCACTTAGATAAAATCCATTGGTGATTTGGTGGGCTTTGAACCTGGGACCTCAAGAACCGAAGTCCCGCGCTCAAACCACTAGACCAGCTCGCTCCCAAAATAAGTTGTTGTAGGCCTATCACACATAAAAAAAATAAATGTTCTAAACATAAAGCTTTAAATTGTTTCTTAATTTAAATTATTAAATTCATTATTCTTATTCCAAGAACTACAACAACGATACTAGCACTCCAGTCAGACGGAGCTGGAATGGCGCTAGAGACCACAACTGAGTGGTCATGTGACCTGCTAGAGACTTCAAGCACTTGGAACCAGCAGCTAGAGGTGCCAGATCATGCAAGTGTTTCTAGCAGCTGGATGATCAGTCACACGATGCTGATTTTCTGCGGGTTCTATCTAACTGCTTGTTACTAGCGGTGAAAAAACCAGCTCCGTGTGACAGGGGCTTTAGAGTTTCATGCAGGTTTTGCTAGTGCTACTTCTCGAGTTCAACCACTACAAATACATGACAAAACCACGTGGTATACATTAGCAAACAACACATGTAAAACAACTACACCAACCTTAAAGTTGTTGATTACCAAGTACTTTTTTTTAATTTTCATGTTCCCAAAGTTACAATTTCTAAGTCAATGTTGCAGAAGCTGTGGCAGCTCAGAGAGCGTATTCCAGAAGCTTTGTTTACCGACAGTTATGCTTACCTCTACGACATCTCTCTACCCCTAGACAGCTACTACCAGATAGTACCTGAATTGAGAACTCGGCTACAAGGCACCGAGGCCACTGATGTCACTGGCTTTGGACACCTGGGTAAGATAGCTACAACTGGTAAATTCAATAACTTTAAAATTTTAGAAGACTTTAAAGAAAATTTTAAGATTTTTTGCTTGTGATTACAAAATCAAATTTATAGTTCCAATTTCATGGGATAAGGGTTAACAAGTACAGAATAGGTCTCTATAGGCATGGGCGTCCATCAATATGGCTATTTTGGGTTTGAGCCTCCCTTCTATGAAACCCTCGTTTACCACATTAACCGTATATGGTGGGACCATGTGGAAAAGACCCTAAGGGTATTGGGAAAATAAAAAGGAAGAGAGAGGCAAGATATTACCACTTGGGGTACCAGAGGCCACAGAAATATGTTTTAAAATTTTAAACATTTTAAACACTGGGGGTTATTCTATACCACCTAGGGCCTTATGGAAAAGATACCACTAAAAAAAAAAACAACTAACAACTAACAAGAAACAACTATGTCTAGAGAAGAATTTTCCATAAATTAAAAAAACTTCCGCTATACTTAAAAGTAACTCCTCATAACAATACATTCATAAAATTTGAAATATGTCGTTTCCCTGAAGTAACAATTCTATATTATTCAGGTGATGGGAATCTGCACCTGAACATCTGTGCGCCTCAGTTCAGCCCAGAGCTGCTGGCCAAGATAGAACCGTTTGTCTTTGAGTGGATAAGTGAGCGAGGAGGCAGCATCAGTGCTGAACACGGCATCGGCTTCAAGAAGACCGAGTTCTTACGATACTCCAAGTCTGACGCAGCCATCCACACCATGAGGCAGATGAAACAGCTCATGGATCCCAAGGGGATTCTCAACCCTTACAAAGTTCTGCCTGTGGAATTGTTTTGATAGTGGAAATGATGCTTAAGCTGGGTTTACACGAGCAGGGGAGACAATTTTCAGAAGACAACTGACTGGCATGAAATTATTGGCTTCGTGTAAACACTGTGGGCCAATTCACAATCATCCTGAAATTCAGTTGCCTCCAGGGGTGGACTGAGAATAACCAGCAGGACAACTGGCCTCTGACCATCCCGCAATCGGTGAAAATAACTTTCTCACAAACTGGCATCGTGTAAACCAGGCTTTAGGGATCAGCTGGTCTAGGTACTAAAAAATATTCATTTTCAGTCTGTTTTCATCACTCCGTACAGAAAGTAGCTATTTTTGATAACAGCTAATATGAAAGAAAGTAAATTTAACAAGCTCTAACTGACTTTCCCTTGCCCTAAATAAGTTCTCCATTTGTCCAGTATTTGTTTAAAATGTATACATTAAAATCAGCTGTTTTTGTTTTTAATGATTAACAATATAAATGAAACCAGAAATATGCATAGCTGTGTTATACCAAGGCCCCACTAGAAAAAACAGGCCATGCTGCAGCGCGGGTAGCGCAACACTACGTCACAGTGGTGGATAGTTATACTAAACTCTTACCATTAAAATCTTACAAACAGCCAGCTTGTTTATTTACCTAAAACATATGGGAATGGTGATGGCAATGAATTTATCAATGAAATCTATCCACTAGTGTGACGTCACGGATCCTGCAGCATGGCCTGCTTTTTCTAGTGGGGCCTTGGTTATACCTTATTGTAGATGGTTACTGCATAATAAACATTACCTTGAACTTCTTAATTTTATGATGTTATTTAAGGTTTTTTTAGGTTTGTTATAACCTTTTAGCTTTTATTTTTATATTAAAATAATGTTAATTAGGTAGTATAATACAGTAGTTTTAATTTTACCTGTGATGAAAAGTATCGTTCACAAATTGTACCAAAAGTGATTTTTCGGCAATCGCTCCGATTATTCCCTTCATCGGCTTCACCTTATACGTGAAAATATAAAATAACCCTCACATGAAACTAGAGCTCTCACTGGTAACACAGAAAACATACTACTATAACCAGAATGCCAACCGCATGGTAAAAAGCGTTAAGTACTTTGAGAGAGCTTTGCCTGTCAGTTCGTAGCCAGCGCCACCAGCGTTGCAATGCACTCAGCATAGCACCTTTTTGGTACTAGATAGTACCCTTTTTGGTACTAACAGCTGTGTCTAAGGAATGTCGGCCTTAGTCACTAACAAGACTACTCATCCTACACTCATCTCCATTGAAATATACATACTTGGCTTAAAATACCTACTTTGTATGGTCGCAATTTAATAAGAAATATTAAAGTACTATATCTTAATTTGTCCTGCGCTCATTAATTATTTGAAGGCAAGTGAGCGTAGCGAACGAGCTAACCTGAAGGCAAGTGAGTGCAGCGAACGAGCTCCAACCCAAAGGTGAGTGAGCGTAGCGAACGAGCTCCAACCTAAAGGTGAGTGAGCGTAGCGAACGAACTTCAACCAGGACGTGATTGAGCCATGCGAACGAGATATCTTGAAAATTAAGAAGTTAAACGGGGCAAAGCCTGCGGGTTACAGCTAGTTTTTATATGAAAGATGTATTGAAGTAATATTTAGGGGTCGCCGGAATTCTACCCCCGGATATTTACCCCCATGAAAAAACGCCTACGTCATTTTGACGTCACGAGGGGTGGGGCCTATACACGGTCGAGAAACAGCCCACGACTGGAAATCTACCCCCGGACATCTACCCCCGGACATCTACCCCCAGACATCTACCCCCGGCCCGGACATCTACCCCCGGACATCAACCCCCGGAAATCTACCCCCGTGGTCAGCTACGCTACGTATCGGCCAAGATGCATTGTTGTAATTGATTTTATTAATTGGTTTATGTAAATAAACGGCTCTATGGTTATTCGTTAGCTTCTAATATCCAGTATAAAGCATGCGATATGTCGTTTTCGTGTTTAGTCCTAACTTAATTGGGAAATTCTGCCTTAATACAAAACTTGTCAACTTATGTCCATAAATAAGTGTTCAAAATATCCATTCATAAGAATAACATACAGGAAGTGAATATGCAGGTTTCCTGCCAATAAAATGTTGAATGAAGCTTTTTAAGGTAGTATACAGAATATCTTATCTAGATAAAGTAACATGCCGAGTTTAATTAAGATGTGTAAAGAAATAACTATATTTATGACATTTTAATGATTACCAATAGGACGAATAAAATTGGTACACCGTAAAGTGTTTACCTCTCAATACCTCAGTAACGAACGATCATAGAGCAATAAATCAAACTACTTATTTTTTCGAGCTAAATCAGAAGCTGCAATGACAAAAAAAAAACTATATTACAAATATTTAAAGACCTATATAAAAATATAAAACACACCCCCTCTTCTAATAGTCCGGGATGGCTGGTTTTGGTTTCTGGTTTGGTAGATTTTCCCAATGACCTCCTTGAAAGAAACAGATAGTCTTGAGAGGAAACGTCACTCTTTATCATTTCGCTAACAATTTGAAGGGTTGAAACTACATATTTGAACACCTGCGCTGCCTCTCGGTAAAGGTTACAGTGTACTTGGCGGTAAGAAAATGTAATTTGGTCTTCCACTATATCGCGTACAAGTTTTAATTATGTTCCATACTGATCATTTTCTCTTTATCATTAGGTAAAACTCCCAGCTGTCATTCCGAAGGATTATTTGAACGTTTGAGAATTTTCTCTGAAGAAATGTGATTAAAATTAGTTAGTCCATTTAGTAATGAGTGGAGCGAAGCGAAGCTCTTTGGGAACGACTTTAATGCAAACTTTCGAACACATTAACACATTAACGGCGGAACATATTTTAGCCAAACTTACTTTTGTCAAATGTTTGGAAGGTTTAGACGAAACAAACTTAAATTTATAATACTGCCTATATAATTAAAAGTAACCTTAAGTTTTTTTTTTTATTTTAACATTGGACTTATGGGTTGCCCTGGTGCTTACATAACAACGACGTAAATGTAAACAAAACAGAGAATCAAAGCACATGTTAAAATCAAGCCACGACCTAAACACAGTACAAAGAGAAAAAATTCGAATGATGACTACTAGTCATCGATCTCTATTATTACAGAGATCGATGTCACTAGTTAACATTTAAGTCGCAATTTGGAAACGACCACTGATCGAATGGGTACAGTATTTTACATATTTGATTTACGTAGCTAAATAAGGTTATAACAAATAACATTTATCTTATGTTATTGGGAATAAAACAACTACAAGATTCTGCAGTTTTAAAAACTAGGTATTCTGAAATCAATATTTTTTTCTCTAAATATGCTATTATGAATATGCTTTCTTATTATTTACTTTTAAATATTTTTGATGATATCATCGTTTTGGTTGACACACCTGTTGTGTTGATTGTTGTGTTGGCAACGACTTAGGGTATATTATTGCCCAAGAAGAATGAAGTATTTTTTGAGTTTTCGTAAAAAAAAAAAAAATTATTCGCATAATAAGCTAATGAATAACCGAAGAGCCGTTGATTTACATAATACAATTAATGAAATCAATTACAACAATGCATCTTGGCCGATACGTAGCGTAGCTGACCACGGGGGTAGATTTCCGGGGGTGGTAGATTTCCGGGGGTAGATGTCCGGGGGTAGATTTCCGGGGGTAGATGTCCGGGGGTAGATGTCCGGGGGTAGATGTCCGGGGGTAGATGTCCGGGGGTAGATGTCCGGGGGTAGATTTCCAGTCGCGGGCTGTTTCTCGATCGTGTATAGGCCCCGCCCCTCGTGACGTCAAAATGACGTAGGTGTTTTTTCATGGGGGTAAATATCCGGGGGTAGAAATCCGCTACCCCATATTTAGCACTAGAGTGACCAAAAAAAAAACTAAGACCAAAGTTCTGATTTTTTAAAACTCAGTTAAATAACTCATGTACCCTATGTGTAAAAACTTTAAATATGGTATTACCTTTTAATACGAATCGATAACAAATGCACGTAGCTCTAGCGACCACTGTTCTATGACTACAGATAATGGCAGTGTGTAGGCTTTCTATAGAGCATACCCCCATACATTCACAAATAATTCTTTGTGGATATATAAATATTATTTTCCATTTTTATTTGTCATAAAATTAGTACGGTAGACTTATGACGATTAAAATTCTTTAGAAAGTTAATCCTATACTCTAATACGAGCAAAGTTTGCTTGTATGTATGTATGTATGTATGTATGTATGTATGCTTGCACCAAGATCTCGAAAACGGCTCCAACGATTTTCTTCAAATGTTATATATAGTTTATTTCTGGCCTAAAAACGAATTTACTACAGTTAGAACTGCCAAAAAAAATCTAATTACGTAGAAAAATGAAACTGAAAATTACATTTTTTTAACATTAGTCTTATGGGTTGCTAGGTAACCATGTTGGCTGAATTAAATAACAAGGAAAAAGTAAACAACAGACTCGAAGTTGTAGCATGTGTTCATAATAAGCCAACTACCCACAGTATACTAGCAAATTACAAAAAATACAGTACAAAAGAAAAAACATCACCTGTTAATATCTAGCAAAGATTATACTGAAGATTATTCGATATCTATGATTGTAGTAAGGGTAGCAGTGCGAAGTCTGGGATCTATGTTTATGACGATTGCATTAAGGTATCTGCAATCCTAAAATGCTATGGGAAGATAAGGAAACAGGTCCGCGACGTAGGAAGTGGTGAAGGAAGTAGTGAAGGCAATTATAAAATGCTATGGGAATAGAGGGAAACAGGTCCGTGACTTAGGAAGTGATGAAGGATATAGTTAAAAGGCGAGCAGTCCGGAGTGAGGGGACTGTTTATGACGATAAGATTAGGGTACTGTATCTGCAATCCTAAAATGCTATAGGAAGGGAGGGAAACAGGTCCGCGACGTAGGAAGTGGTGAAGGAAGTAGTCAAGGTGAGCTGTCCGGAGTGTTGGAACTGTTTATGACGATTAGATAAGGGTATGGGCAATCCTAAAATGCTATGGGAAGGGAGGGAAACAGGTCCGCGACGTAGGATGTGGTGAAGGAAGTAGTCAAGGCGAGCTGTCCGGAGTGTTGGAACTGTTTATGACGATTAGATAAGGTTATGGGCAATCTTAAAATGCTATGGGAAGGGAGGGAAACAGGTCCGTGACGTAGGAAGTGGTGAAGGAAGTAGTCAAGGCGAGCTGTCCGGAGTGTCGGAACTGTTTATGACGATTAGATAAGGGTATGGGCAATCCTAAAATGCTATGGGAAGGGAGGGAAACAGGTCCGCGACGTAGGAAGTGGTGAAGGAAGTAGTCATGGCGAGCTGTCCGGAGTGTCGGAACTGTTTATGACGATTAGATAAGGGTATGGGCAATCCTAAAATGATATGGGAAGGGAGGGAAACATGTCCGTGACGTAGGAAGTGGTGAGGGAAGTAGTCAAGGCGAGCCGTCCAGAGTGTGGGAACTGTTTATTAGATTAAGGTATTTTGCAATCCTAAAGTGCTATGGGAAGGGAGGGAAACATGTCCGTGACGTAGGAAGTGGTGAAGGAAGTAGTCAAGGCGAGCTGTCCGGAGGTTGGGAACTGTTTTATTAGATTAGGGTATCTTCAATCCTAAAATGCTATGGGAAGGGAGGGAAACAGGTCCGCGACGTAGGAAGTGGTGAAGGAAGTAGTCAAGGCGAGCTGTCCGGAGTGTTGGAACTGTTTATGACGATTAGATAAGGTTATGGGCAATCTTAAAATGCTATGGGAAGGGAGGGAAACAGGTCCGTGACGTAGGAAGTGGTGAAGGAAGTAGTCAAGGCGAGCTGTCCGGAGTGTCGGAACTGTTTATGACGATTAGATAAGGGTATGGGCAATCCTAAAATGATATGGGAAGGGAGGAAACATGTCCGTGACGTAGGAAGTGGTGAAGGAAGTAGTCAAGGCGAGCCGTCCGGAATGTGGGAACTGTTTATTAGATTAGGGTATCTGAAATCCTAAAATGATATGGGAAGGGAGGGAAACATGACCGTTACGTAGGAAGTGGTGAAGGAAGTAGTCAAGGCGAGCTGTCCGGAGTGTGGGAACTGTTTATTAGATTTAGGTATTTGCAATCCTAAAGTGCTATGGGAATGGAGGGAAACAGGTCCATGACGTAGGAAATGGTGTAGGACATAGTAAAGGCGAGTCGTGTGGAGTTTGGGAGTGGATTTATGTATCTCCAATACTAAGACTGCTTTCAGAGTGAACTAATGTTTTTTTCGAGCAATGCTCGGTCCCCAGGTACTGTAAATAAATTACACAGTAATGCTATGAAATAATGTTTGTTCCGTAAAGGGTGTTTTTGTGAGATGCTGATAAAAACACAGTATACCACAACTCCAAATCTGTTCTATTTTACAAAAAAATTTTTTTGAACGAGTATTTTATTGTGATGGCAATAAGAAAACTTCACAACAAATGATTAAGTGTAAAACCTAATAATTTGCAAATAGGTATTAAATATCACAAGTTAAAGGATATATTTTTGTAAAAAGCCAATCAAGTATATGGAAATTCGCTTAGTCTGCAGGTTTGCTGCGGCATATATTCACCTATTACAGAGTCTAGAAATACAGTATATAAGTTCTCAATGGTACTGTAACTTTACTGTAGGCGAGAGTAAAGAAGTGCTCTGAGCCAGACCGATATGCAGCAATGTTGGAATGTTGCCGTGCGGTATTTGCAGGTGCACCTCCCTCTCTAAGCAAGAGGCGAGTGACAGAGTGACGCATGTTGAATACTTGTCACATCGACAACAGATGAGTAATACAGTGACAATCGCTTCAGTTAATTCAGTGCACCACAAGTATAACCATGCACTTTGACTATGGAATATACAAAACGTAAATTTTACACAAACACGTATTGTTCTATTAAAATAATATTCAGCTTTTAATAGGAATCAGGAGCGTTTTTAATTTGTTTGGCTCGGCCATTTTTGACGTACATGTATTTTACCTCTTCAATATTAATAAAGTCGTGTACTAAAAATAAATTAAAATAACAGCTAGGCCTATATCTTTTGGTTTTAATACTGTGGTTGTGAGTCCTGAATGCCGCGTGGAACATGAGCATGCCTCGAGCCGTCGAGTAGCAAGCGCCTGCATTTTTAGAATAGGCCAGGACTCAGGGGACTTCTTAACTCTCACTTAATTTGTGTTTCGTAGCCATGGGCAAACTTGACGTTATTTGTAAGGGAACGGTCCAACCATGGTCTTTTCTCAACCTAATGTTAACATTTTGTTAGACAGCATTATTAATTGCCAGCCCAATGACAAAAATCATCTGGGCCCAAAACTACAAAGTAATTAATGAAAAAATTAAATTTTGTTCTTGTTAAAATTTTATGTAAAGAGGCAAAAATGATATAAGTAACAAAGTACTAACTTGAAAAATAGTTAAAATTTGTGTAATAATAATTGTAAAAGTATAAACAATATATATAGCTTTATTCACGGAAGTTTTATTCTGAGGTCTTTTCCTTGTACGAGATGATACCCTTTTCAATCAAATCTGGAATCTCCACAGCAAGCCAGGGTCCCAACTGAAAACCAAAGATAAAAAGTTAGTTTTTACTTAAAACTCTAATTTAATTAATTTTTTAAATCACTTTTTGGGTATAAAATAATCTTAGTGTTTTTACGCTAACCTTTCAGTACAATGGACAATTTATGGATAGTAATTTTTCATCCAATCTTAAAAGGCAAAAATTATGTTGGAATTATTTAAGTTGAGGGAAGACTTAAAACCATTATACATGTGCAATAAAGGCATGATCATGACAGCTCTGGAACAATTTGAAATTTATAAAGCCGCAAAAAACAATCCCCAGGACATAATAATGACTTAAGTACTCTACAATCAAATATTTTATTTGAATCACTGATATAGTTGGACAAGGACTGTGATAAAGGTGGCCGGGGGACAAAGTTTAGCTCATGACCCAGTCGAGACTCGGCATCTGTGTCCTGCGTACACCAGTCTTTGTAGGCCTACAGTTTTTTCCTTCTTTTAAATGTTTTGTGTTTTTTTTTTTACTTTGACGCAACCAATTCAAGAATGGTTTCTTCAAGTTTTGTGACCTGATGATGCTAATGCGTTGAAACTTGCAGTCCAGTATACGAGCAGAGGAATCACCAGGCAGTTACAGGTATTTTAACCTTTTTACAATATTATTGGTGCATATTGTCTATGGAATATCCCCCAAAACTTATGTAAAAATCCTACTACCTGACTTTTTACCATCCCAATGTGGTTGGGTTTCACTTGGTTTGAATTAAAGGAGTTCTATTATGGTTCGAATTACCTTACTTAATTCTACTTGGGTCTATAGTGGGTTTTAATTGAAATATTTATCTAAATGTCTGAAAATTTTGGTTTGTCCAGGCCCTAGTTTATTATATAGTCAAGAATTGATTAAGTTAGGTAATTACTGACCCCCAGCGCCATGGCATGTGCAATTCCAAACTTAGGCACATTCCTCGCCCACAGCGGCTTGAAATGATCGGAAAGGCAAATCTTCCCTCCTCGGTACATCTTGGCGGTTTTTCCATCCAACTCAGGCAATGCGATCTCTACAGCAGTTGCTGGGTACGTTACAGGAATCTGCCACAGATAGGTTCATGTGATATGCAATAAACATTCTTTAGTTAAATGCGAAACTCAAATACAAAATATTAAATACAAATACAAGTCCAATATATTGGAATCAAATTCATGCATTCCCTCCCCAGCAGTATTAGAAACAAAAGTAGCGTAAATAAATTTAAAAATAAACTTAAGGGGTTTTTAATTGATAGTGAATTTTATAGTTTAGAAAATTTTGAACACTGTAACAAAAAAACTGTATGACTAAGCAAGTAGGGAAGTAGGTGAAATCATGTGAAGTAGTTTTAGGTTGATGACACATTCATGTATACTTGTTTTGTATGTATTGAATAAAGCTTTATTGATTGATTGATTGATTAATACAGTAGAGTTCCGATAGTCCGAAATGGATGGGACGGAACCCATTTCGGATTAAGCGAAATGTTTACTAAAATACAAATCATTTTAAAATACACAACATTCAAGTTGGCCCATTGGCCTACTACAACAGGTCTTCTCGCCCGGCGAACGCTACAGATTACTTTGACGAGGTACAAATAACTGCCATCACACAACAAAAACTGACAAAAAAATTCAAAAAGTTTCTTTTTCGGTTTCGGATTACCGATGTTCGGATTACCAGGACTTAACTAAAGCGCAAAACACTTTTTAAGTAGGAATATTTGCTGTATGTAAACAAGTGAAACCCAGGTTAGCCAAAAACTCAGTGTAAAGTTCAAGTCAATTGGAAAATGAACTATGCAATGAGGAACGTCCTCAATGGGGTTGGTGTCACTTGTTATGGCAGCCACTGACATAACAAAGAAATTCCCACCTGTCTTATTCCAAGTTCAGGCCAACTTTTTTTTCAATCTAGAAAGTTAAGAAAACAGTTGACGATTATAGCCTACTCAGTGAAATGGAGTAGCACAATAAAAACCTGCATCACAATATGGATTTTTGATCATATTTTTAGGTTAAAAATTATAACAATTAATCGGAAAATGAAGGGAAATGTAAAGGATAAATTTGAAATTGATGGACCTAATATTTTTGTTTCATAAAATTGCTGATAAAAAGGTTTAAGCTAATCACAAACTTTTACGAGTTGTTACGAGAATTGTAACCCTTTAAAAAGGTTGACCGCGGTGTGGGAATAGTCTAATTTATGGAAAAACAAACATGCACTTAATTTGAATATGGATTTAATTAATTTGTATTTATGAATTTTGTTTAGAGCAGTTTTTTATTTTACGTTTTAGTTGCAGTTAAAAAAATAAAATTACTTGACAATATGATGCCAATAGTATACCATAGTACATCTAACCATAACCATAGTTCACTGTAAATTTAAAGAAGCAAATTTGATCAAACTTTGTCCTCCCCCATTGCAAACGCAAAGCTTGAGTATAACTGCAATAAGCAATTTAAACTTATATGCCAACCCCGTACGAAGGACGGGTACTCTGCTAGTTTTTCATATTTTGTGAACTTTTAATAATTTATTTTACTCTATTGTTTAGGTGAAGTGGTGTAGATCATTATGGCTATGGTAGATGTGTAATACTATAGTATACCGTAAATTTAAGGAAGCAAATTTTATCAAAATGTGTCCCCCCATTGCAAACGCAAAGCTTGACTTGAGTATAACTGCAATACGCATCTTATACTTATATCCCAACCCCGTACGAGGACGGGTACTCTGCTAGTGGTCAATAAAATGAAGATGGTAACAAAATATTAACTACTTACGTCAAATTCAATGTCAAACTCATATTTAAGAAGATTGTGGATATACCAGCACTTTCCAAACCATCTCGTACCCTCTTTATTGGATTCCAGCCTAAACCAGTCATTGTCAGCAGATTTGTTGTTCTGAACATACTGAAACAAAATACATGCATGGCTTAAAAAAGTTTCATCAATGTGAACATATAGTCTGATACAACAGCTAGAATTTTAAAACTAGACCAATTTAAGCTTGGAAATGTGTGAAACTGAAACCTACAGTAACGCTCCTTTCACACTATACAGTTTTTGCCGTACCGTTAAAAATTGACGGTCATTTTTTTTAGTATTGTTTAAAAGAGCATGAGAGCTTACACAGTACAGGGTTACGGCAATGGCAGAAACCCCCGGCACACCCACAATATATATGGGTGTTTTGTTGTAAAATGGGTTTGGACCGCTTTCCCTAAAAGCGTTTGAATACTTACGCCTTTCAATTCTCCTGCAAACCTGCTGACTAAGCGAATTTCCATTTGCCTGATTGGATTTTCACTTATATATTTCCTTAAATATGTCAGATTAATTCCCTATTTAAATAACATTAGGTAGGTTTAACAAGTAGCCTACTTAGGTTTGCTGCTACAGAGAGGGCAATGAATTGTGTTTTGAGTAAAATTTCAGTAGCTTAGTATAGGCTAAAATAAATAAATCTTCCAAGTTTGATCAAAATATAATCCATCAACAAGATGGACCTATTTGGACAGCTATAGGCCCGTTTCTATCTTACTAATCTTCAGTAAGCCTTATAGGCTATAATGACCAGGCAGCTTTGTGAACACCTAGAGCCTAACAACCTACTGACGGAAGGTCAATTCGGATTCCGTCAAGGCCGGTCCACAACAGGAGCGGTCATGAGGCTTTCAGGTTTGGTTGATGAATGTTTATCATTCTATGTTTCATTGCCACGTGAGCTATGGTGTGCTATTATGGGGACACGCACCCACGACCGAAGACATCTTGGTCCAGCAAAAGAGAGCTTTACGAATAATCACCTTCAGCGATTGTCTGGCTCACTGCAAGCCTATCTTTGCCAGGCTGGGAATTCTAACAGTGTTCGGTCACTATATCCGAGCCTGCATAAAGTGCGTACTAGATAATATTGAGGAGTTTTCTTTCCAGAGCAGCAACACATCATCACCTTACTAGGCATCGCAACCAACTAGATGATCCTAGAGTTAGACTACTTATGAAGGACTCTGAAGGCCTTAAGTAATGGAGCCCTAAAAATATATAATAAGTTGCCAAACTCTATCGTACTTCTCGACAAAAGGGAACTCCTTAAGCTACTCTCTGTGTACTTTAAAGAAAAAGCCTACTACTCGCTGAAGGAGTATTTTGATGACCCTCTATTATGCCTGGGCTGAAGTACGCCTGTCCAAAGCCTCAGTGTTAAAAATATGTTTTCTAAAACTTGTTCACGGCGCAACAGAAGGCACAGGAGTGTAATCTGTGGTTTGCAGAGTTTAAATTGATTGCTAAATAATACTGAATTTAAATCTACTTGATGATAAAGAAATTTGAAGCTGGTTTAGTGAGTTTCATGACACTAACATGTTTTGAAAGGATATTTACTTGGGCGACTAGACACAGGTTATGACAAAATCGATGACATCTCTGACAATTCACATGCATTGGCCTACTTAAGTATCTTGAGGTCAATGAGATAACACTCTAAGGCTGCAGCCACACGGGCAATTTTTCACGCTCAAAGGCAGCGTGAAAACACGCAAAAAATATGAGAAGCAATAAATGCAATGAGGAATGCCACACACGGTGTGTTTTCCCGCAGTAGCAAGCGCCTATTTGTTTCAATGCTACTCTAATTTTTGGTGCCTTTTCACGCTGCGTTTGTGCGTGAAAAAAACGCCCGTGTGGCCTCAGCCTAAGCGTAGGGCAGGTATTACACTCATATTGCGTAGGCAAATGAGCATAGTTCAACTATTATAAAATTTGGTCCATTACACTGTAATACTTTTAATCAGACATAGTGTAATACGGGCCTAGGCCTGGTTTTCTTTGAAGTTTATACATGACAAATCTTAAGAATTGTCTGCATATAAATGTAAGTATATTTGTATTATACATTAACTAACTTAACAAAAGAGAAACCATATGTGTACCTATCCCAGCTAAAAAACATGTTTACGTTTGTTAGGATATTATAAAGAATGAGGAGGAGAAACTGTAATGTCAAGAAGAGTATAAGCTTGTTGGAAAAAAATTAAAACACTAGCCTAATTAGCTGATTAGGTCTATAGGTAATGCTTTATTTCAAGATCCTTGTAACTGACAGTTAAAATAAAGTTGTAAACATAACCTTACCTGGATTAAAGCTTGATACTCCTCTTTTAGTCTTTGAGGCCATAAGTCTTTGTCTCGCGGACCAGCTTTTGTTTTCAAAAGCGGAATTGAGCTTAGCGTTTTTTTAGAAGATTCATCCATTTTCTTAAAAGAACGACAATCAAATCAAATCATTTCAAAATCACAGTGTAACCTAATTTTTGTAATCAAAGGTCTAGGCCTATCAGTAAAAGCCTAGGGAGAAGAAAACAGCTGTTGATGACAGCACAGCTCAAGACTGATGACGTGCACACCTGGTTCTACCAACATGACTCTTGTACAAACAGCATTATAAAAGTATAGTATATTACGTTACTAGTCCTGAAAATAAGTGTTTACCGGATGAGTGTGGTCGTTCCCAGTTCCCATACGAGTCCGGTATACAAATTTTGGACGAGTTATGTACGATAATCAAGAATCAAGAATTTTTATTTCCATAAAATGCAGTTACATTACTGGAAAACGTCAGTAAACTATAGCTAAAATAAAAACTAAAATAAGACAATGGTACAAGGTTTCTTACCAATATAAAAAATTGAATTCCTGAAACTCTCCATGCAGAGAGAAAAAACGGCACACAGCATACAGCACACAAAAACTACTTACATATTCTTCTTTCAGATAAAAAAATTCTTTATTTTTGTACAAAGGGTTTGCCAAAAGGAGCCCCTCAACTCCTTTTCTGAATTTTGGGTCCAGGAGGTTCCGAGCTACAAAAGGAAGTTTATTAAAAAACTTATAACTAAGAATATCATTCGACATCTGAGCTTTAATTAACCTAACATGTGGTAAATTGAGATCATTTTTCCTACGTGTATTATAGGGATGGATGTCGCCTCTCAGCTCAAGAGAATCCCATTCCTTCTTGATTTTGATCAAACACTGAAAAATATAGAGGTTACAAACGGTCATTAAGCTCTCAGCTACAAATATAGGTTTACAATGATCCAATAAGTAATCAGCACCAGCTACTACTCTAACTGCTTTCTTTTGATAGCTAAGAACTCTCTTGACCCCAGAGGCGGCACCCCAGAGCCTTAGGTCATACAATAAAATACTCTGAAAGAAAGCAATACTGTATAAGCAGTTTTCAGCCAGTCCTTTGGTACAAAATATCTCAATCTTCTGAGTAGACACAGAGCTCTGGAAAGTCTAGCACAAACATGGCTAATCTGGTCATTCCAGTTTACTTTATTGTCAAAATGTAAGCCTAGAAGTTTGACAGATTTCACACATTGTTCTAAGACTCTTTAATCTTTATTACAACCATAAAAACAAACCAATAACTTTCCCAAAACCGATGTGCTATACTATAGCATACCGACCATACCTTATAAGTTAAAAGAACCAAATTCCCCTCCCATAACTGCAATAAGCATTTTATACTTATACTATGCCAACCCCGTACGAAGAACGGGTACTCCGCAAGTATACAATAAATGCACACTACGGTCATTATAACAAAAACTATAAGTTTTGTGATGTGTCTGATGATGCCAGCATAGCTGGCGAGAGGCCTCATAAAAATTAAAAAAATTCAGAAATATTGGCGAAGTTATTATTTAAAATTAGTAAAAACTATAAGGTTATGATAAGAAATATTTAAGGGGAACGTTAACAAAACATATTGTCTATAGTATAAAATCTTTCTTCCTCATACAATATGACAAGATAATAAAACTTTTGATTGTTAACGATAAAGGAACTAACAAATCAATGTTGACATTGTAGCCTTGCCATTATCAAGACATTATAGGATGAGGATCATTTGATTTATTTTCCCAAAGGTCCCGTGGTAGTAATTGAGTAAGAGTAACTCGCCTTACATTAAATTCAGATTATTTATGAGCCCCCGTAGGGGCTGCCAAAAATTGCCGATGCGGGCGGTATTTCACGCCCCCATGGCGGGGTATTGGTAAAAGTTTTCAATTAGCAATAATCGCACCTCAGTTGAACTTCATTGGTTACGATATTGCCACTGCGCAAAGTTGATCAGATGTGGTATGCTAGAGAGACCCGACCAAATTTAGACTCCTATTACCTAGCGAGTGCTAAATGGTAAACTATAGGATTTATCAGAATTACGATGTGCAATCGACCAGATTTTTTTTTATTTATTTGATTTTATTTCACCTTGTACATAATACATTTTATAACAGTCCGTTACGGACTAAAATAGTTATTAAATTCGAATAATATTGTTATCCAAGTACAATTTTATTAAGGAAACCGCTAGCGCTTCCTTGCGGGCTGATTCTGCACTGCATGAGTTTGGTAGCCCTAAACGCTGCTAGGAGCGCTAGCGCTCATGTTTCATGAACAGCTCGCTATTGTGAGGTAAGCGAGCGAGCGGACACATTTTCCATTACGACAATCGGCAACTTTGATAAAAAAAATACCTTACCTTACTTATACCTCATTAACCTATACTAAGACGCGGAACACAATACTGTAAAACGGTTCTTTAATTTTATAAACAAATTTAACTGACTTGCTAATTTAAAAAGTCAATTTCTTCCGATTCAGCTAAGAGTTACAAAATCACTAAACAGTACGATAGTTTACGTGTCGCAATTCACGTTTTAATATACAGTAACGAAGCCTATATGATATACAGTAACTTGAAAAGACCCATTGAGTCAGCTTCCTTGAAGGTGTTTTACTTGGAAATCTGCTATCTGAAGTCAATACACACACACAAACATTTTATGACATACTGTAGTGTGACCATTAAATCAATTTTATAATTATTTGTTTGGTAAATTGTTTTGTTGTTATCCTGTTGTTTCTCGTTATTACACCAGTTTTAAAACAATATAATCGCATAAACTATCTAATTAATTATACAAATTACTTATCTCTAAAATTATAACCAAAGAGTCGAGCACAAATTGTAAATCTATACTATTAAAAATTGAGGTTGTGTCTGTCTGTCTGTTCGGCTCTCACGACTGAAATAGAACCGATACCCCCAAAATTAAGCACAGAGATGGCACATATCTAAGAATTTCTTAGGCCTATTCACTTCATTGGGTTCCCCCGGACTACACTTGGATGCCCAAAAATTTAATTTGAGAATTTCAAAAGTAAATATTAATTCGTCTACATAGAAGCATGAGCAAATTCACAATGTTCATCATCGCGTTGACATTTCAATGTAAACAATTAAATCAGCACTGTCAAAGGCTTATTTCATGATTTCAGACAGCTGATCCAAACTAATTAAATAATAGCTATTTACGTGGGTAGCTCATCTTCTAACAGTAATGTTCTTATACAAAAGCTAGGTTAGGGAAATACTTTAAAGCATATCAATAACATACAAGCGCACAGCTGATTTCTAGCGTCGTTGGCTCCATAGACGTATTTTTTTTAGTTGAGCACTCAATGTTATTTAAATGGGTTTCATTACATCACCGAGTGAGTTTTTGATACTTTACTTCACTCGTGAAGTAAAGAAGTTGTCTACATCACGCTTGGGATAGGGAAGTTTAACATGACGGGTGGGGTAAAATATTTTACACAACTCTATGTTGTAGGCTTATCTATACTATTATAATTTATAGTAAAACTAGGCTATCAAGATAGGTTGTAATATAAAGGGGACACCCGTTCTTCGAAATTGAATTTTCATTCCGTTGCAAAGCACGGATACAGCAGTTAGTCCACCCTAAAATAATAGGAAAACATTTAATTAGCACACTCAAACGCCTCAAATATGAACCACATGAAACTGTACAGATAGTTCGTATACATGGAATGTATACTTCAGTAAAAAAAGGCAGCGATCGTATCTAACATTTCAGATTGTGTACAAGAGTGCGCAGTGCGCGGTTTAATAGATAGCGCCGGTTTAAATGACGATACCATCTGCTCAACATTCCTGCGGCTAAGCTAGCATTGCCAAGTAAGCAGGCATTTACAAAAGTAGTAATTTTTCTTCATACTGTAGCAAAAACAACAGTGTTTTAATACGTGCGTTTTTGCGTTGCGGGTCTTATAGTAGCATTTTTACTCCATAGGGAGTAAAAAGAATTTTTTGTCCTCAGGGAGTGTAATGATCAGTGTACAGATCAATCAGTATCAATCCTGACAATCAGTGTAATGATCAGCTGTTGTAAACAGTTATACATCGCGATTGTGGCAATCGCATGGATCGAAATGATTTATCAATTGATGTAATGGGTTAAGGTATTAATGGTATTAGCTTGTACAGCTTGTTTAATTCTTGTACAGTTAGCGCTACTCTGCAGCGTTAACTGAAACTACGCGCAGCACCCTAGTATTGCCGAAACTGTCCGTTGTATTGTCCGTGTATTGGGTCCAATATTTTTTTAAATTTATATCAATGATCTTTGTAATGTGAATTTGAAAGGTAAACTAACGTCCTTCGCTGACGACAATACTACTTAAAATGCTACTTAAAATATAATTGGAGCGATGTAGAAAAAACAATAAATTCGGATTTGAATGCCCTAAAGTGGTGGTAGCCCTAAAAAACAAAATTTATAAATATCAATTTAAAATTTTAAAAGAGGTGATTGAGTTCCATTTATTACAAATGTGTTGATTGTCTTTGTGATAATTCACAGTGTTCTTCTGTGTGTGCCACGGTAAAACAAACAAAAAATATCAACTATTTGGGTTTAATTTTGGATCAAGAATTAAATTGGAAATGCCACATAGAGCCGTTGAAGAAAATATTAAATCTGCTTAAGCTGTTAATTATTTCATAAAACGTAAAAGTAAACATTAGGAGGAAACTTGACAAAAATTGCACAAAATTGGGTTTTTGATGGTTCGTAATTTTATTTCCAAAGTAGCGAGGCCATATTTTAATAGCCAAAGACACTCTCACCGATCCAGTGAATACAGAAAAATGGTTGGAATCTTGATCTACTCTAGTTTTCTAGGAGTAGGCCGCCTAAACTGACATTTTGGCGTTACAGACAGAATGACAGAGCGACAGACAAACAGACAGACAGAAATTGAGATAAGACTCGTTTCGGCTCTCTTAAGGCTATGAAATGTAAAAATAACCAAAAACTACATGGTATTACACAATGCACAGACAAAACTGTAATTTTATTCATATAGATATTTTTATTTCCCGAGAAATATATATCCAGAAAATGTTTTAAGAATGTTATATTTCTCTCTGGCACATAGCAGAA